TAAATTTTCACAATCGCTTGTTCTTCATTTTAATGGGGTTTTTCATAGAACAAGGGCTTCCACTTACTTGTTGTTATATGTTTTCGCCGTGCTTCTTGTTCTCTTACTCTTGGCGACGGAGTTGTCGTGGCTGCTTGCCAAAAATGGTGCCCGTCTTCGGTCCGTGCCCATGTGGATTTCCATAAGAAAGAAAAATCGAGTTGCTGTCCAATTTTCTAGCTTCTGCGGCTCACAACTGCTACAGAAAGGTCTCTCCTGACCTCCCCTTCGATTCCCCCCATTTCTAGGGGAATCCCAGGCCGTATCGGTTCTAGCTTCCCCGGGAGCTGTTCCCAAGAGCTGCAAGCTTCACCATGATGAAGCTCCTCCTCCTCCAATAGTTCTGAAAATAAATAAATAAATAAATAAGTAAAAAATAAATAAATAAATAAATAAATAAATAAATAAATAAATAAATAAATAAATAAATAAATAAATAAATAAAAAGGACCCTTCAGAGGCTCCACCCCACGGGGCCAGTGGGGGCAAAATCGCCAACTTCCAGGACCCTTCTGAGCCTTGGGAAGCCTCAGAAGGGTCCCAGAAGATGATTTTGCCCCCACTGGCCTCACGGGGGGTGGGGGTAGCCTCCAAAGGGCCCTAGGGTGTGTTCCAGGACCCTTTGGAAGCTCACCCTGTCCCCCCCCCGTGGCTAGCGGCGATGAAATCGCCACCTTCCGGGACTCTTTTAAGGCTTGGGAAGCTTCAAAAGGGTCCCGGAAGGTGGTGATTTCATCACTGCTGGCCCCACGGGGGGGCTGGGGGAGCCTCTAAAGGGTCGTAGTGTGCCTTCCAGGACCCTTCTGAGCTCACCCCACCCCTGCGGGGCCCTGAGGAGCACTGTTTTACAGTATTTGCTCCATAAGACACACATACTTCCCCCACACCTTTTGGGGGGGGGAAGTGCATCTTATGGAGTGAAAAATATGGTCGTTCTTCCAATGGAGTGCTATTTCCAATCAAGCTGCAAACATAACAGTGACATTAGGTTCCCTCCTACCAATAAATTTTGCTTCTCAAGCACAGAAGCACTAGTTCTGGGATGTGTGGATGTTTTCTATAATTCAGACTCAGATTTTGATTGTGTATCTTGAAAGTGGAATAAGTAAAATGACCTTGCTTCCTTCCAGTGCTTACTGAATTGAATTATCCATTCAGTTGTATCCAGCCCTTGGCGATTTCATGAGCCAGCTCTCTTCATGATTTCCAATATTGTACAGCTTCTTTCAGCTGCTTTATATTTGGGGCAGTATATGCTTACATCCAACCAATGCGTTCTTTGGTGTCCTTGTCGTCTTTTTAACAGTGACCATTCCAAGCATAATGTCTTTCTCCAGTGATGTTGATCGCATGACATGGCCGAAATGACTAAGTCTAAGTTTTGTTATTTTGCCTTCCAGTGACATATCTGGTTTTATGCACTTCAGCACATCTTTATTAATTGTCCTTGCAGTCCATGGAATATACAAGAACCCTCTCCAACACCATAGCTCAAAAGAATCAATTTTCCTGACTTCCGGCTTGATGCCATGACAAGACAGCAGCAGGAGGACAGAGCTCTGTTCCCTGGGCTGAATTCTGACCTGTTTGGGACACCCCAGGGTGTCAAAACCACCCCAGAGAGGTGGTGAACTGTGGGGGAAGCCTGTTGATCATGGGGGGAACAGCGGTCATCCCCGTTTGATCCAGGAAACTCCCTAATCAGCCAACGGGCAGAAACAAGCAGCTTGGAAGCTCGCTTGCAAGTCGTCAGCAGCCAGCTAAGAGAAGCAAAAATCAGCGATGCGGCATCAATGTTACGGTACTATTGGGTGAGATATATTTTTACAACTAATTGCTTGTGATTACCCCTGGAGAAGACAATTCCTATATACAGGAAAAAGAACCTGCTATCAATCTCATCAGTCATACAGCGGCAGAAAATCTGGAGAGAGGGATAGTTGATGTAAAGAAAATACAGTGGTGCCTCGCTTAGCAATCGCTCCGTTGAATTAGGCCATCAGGCTGCGGATACAACCATTGCATTGTACCCTGGTACTTTAGGGGTTTAAATTTGGTTTAGGCCTATTTAGCCAAAGCAGACTCTTTGAAATGACTCTGGAAACTTGGAATATCGGTTTAGCTGCCACCAATTTGCCAGGGATCAATTAGAACACAAATACAATCATCGAACCGGACTGTGAGACTTGGGGGCTCTGAATTTTGGCTTCAGTTCTTGGACACCTGGAACAGAATGGCACAGCAAGAACAATTTAGGGATGAAACAAAATCTACCCTTCAAACAATACTAGAAATAGTGAGATCCCACTACCAAGAGGAAAAACTATTCAGTGAACATCTGAAGTATTATAG